CTGGCCTCAGCCTGATGCCGTGGCCCTGGAGCAGCGCCGTGCAGCGTGTGCACCTGTGAGAAAAACGCATCTGCTGCAGCCGAGTTCAGTCTGAAGGGAAAAACTGAGCTTAGGGGAATGCAGACTGCACACTGTGTGTGTATCGGTGTCAGCTCAGGGCTGGAAGGAGTTGGAATACCACTAACATCATAAAAACACAGCAGGTACATCCATGGTGAGCATCAGAAGTGTGCTGAGCCACGGATCTTTGAGCTCTGCAGCATGACAAAGGAGCAGGAATGTTGACAGGTGTTAAAAATTGTCTTGCTTTGCTGCTGTTCTTGTTGTTTAGGCTTATCTTTTTTCTCTTTGCAATAACTAGAAGTATCTGCCAGCAGATCTGTGATGCGTATCATGGTAAGGAAATTGTTCCAAATGCTGCCTGTAGACAAAAATCTAAGCGTGCCTTTGTCATGTCTTCATGATTTGTTATTGCTAGTAAGATAAGGAGCTTTGCTCAACAGCCAATCTCATTTTATAGAGACCTGAACCCTTTTTCCATGTGATGGGTGTTAAAATCTCAAATCAGAAAACAAAGCTCCTTTGATTTGCCTGCAGGGCTGTGCTGTGCTTGCTGGAAATGCGATGTTGGGAGTTGACAGCATGTGATTGTGAGCTGCTAGCTCGATCACTAATGTGTGCTTGGGGATATTTCTCCCAGATTAATGCATGTGGATGTCAGGCAGAGTCCTCTGAGCCTAGTCAGGGCTGTGGCTGTGCACCCAGTTGGGTTTGCTTCACCTCTCAGTAGGTCTGTGGTGCTGATTTTTACTGCAGCTGCTGTGTTGGTACACAGGAGAGCTTGGAACAGAAAGCCTGCGCTTCTTTCTCACATCTGCTGCCAGCTGGACAGGTTCCTCAGGTGATAAAAGTAGACTTTCTCTCAAAGGGTTTTGCTTGATTGGCAGCTCCGGTGTAAACAGTAGAAGATGAGTTCAAAGTCTTCTTGGCTGAACTAAACCCACAGACCTGATGATAAGGACTGAGAGTGTGATGGTTCACGCAGCTGCTTCCCCCAAAACACTCTCCAAAGTTATGTCATACTTGGACATGCTGCTTCCCAGTGAGAATTTCAAGTTTTGGCAGCTACTAAAGCAAATAACACAGATCCAAATATTGTGGTAGTTCTTCCATGACTGTAATCCCTACCTCGTTTTAAAGGCACAGGATGGGACATTTTGCAGAGCTAAGTGGAGTTGGGTATCCTAAACCTACTTGTACCACTGACTTGCAGTGCTGTTTAATTTCTGTAGTACCAAGCAAGCACAGCTGATCTTGTTGCAAGACAGGGAGGTGAGGATGGTCCCTGCTGGCCTTGTTTCCAAGCAGCCACAATTGTTGATGAAGGGAACAGTGTGTCTGGTACAGAGTTGAGTGTGTGCAGTGGGACTGGCATAGGGGACAGTGGTCTGTGGAGAAGGCTAATGGTTGGAAATGCAGGTGTGAAACCAGCAAAGAAAGCAAAGGACAGTTTGTGGGGATGGCCTGGTCAGAGGGGATTCTGTGCTTTGTTTCTGACACAGCAATAATTTGTGCAGCCTTGAGTATCTGCGCCATTAGCACTGACTTTCCTACCTACACTGTGAAGCAGTGCTGCCTTTTGGGCACAAACAGGATGGAAACTCTGAAGATGGATACAGTACAAGAAGCAGCTGCAGTAGACAATAAAAAATATCTGCCGGCATGCCTGAAATAGGGGTCTCCTCAAGGCAGGTCTCATAAGCTCTTGGAGATCTATTTCACACCCAAGATAGCTCAGCTGCCTTAGAAGGCATAAAATCAGCAGGATGGCTTCTGTGGTAGTGTTGGAAACATAAAGATTTAATAAAAGGCAAAATAACAAAACTCTTTACAGAGAAAAACTGAGCCTGGTGCAAGAGGTTCTTGCTCCTGGTAAAGCACCTCAAAAAAGCCATTGGTTTCTTTCTCTTCTTTTTCTAGTAAATTGCTCAGGTGGAACTTTCTGGCTCCTGTCCAACTGGCTATCCTTAAGTTTGAGGTGAAGTCTCCCAGGTCCTGTGAGGTGTCTTTTCTGATTGAGGACAGAAACCTCTGGGCTTATTTCCTCTTTAAAGGAGGATTTTGTCACTCCTTCAACAGGGGGCACATTCCTATGCATGCCCAGCCCAAGGCTACAATCACTATCAGCACTATCTAAACACGCTTTTTCCTGTGTTTTCACCAGATTTCCCACTACAGCTTACAGTGAAAGGTGGTGGTGGCGGATGCTGGGTCTCGGCATTGGCTTCTTCAGTCATCTGCTGCTCACCCCAGCAGTGCAGACACCCACGTACCGACCACCCTCTTTGTGCTCCCTCCTGCAGAGCTCCCACCATGGTTAATGAGAGCCAGCAGAGCTGCAGCGGCAGCTCCAGCTCCAGGTCGGATGGCGGCAGCAGCAGCGGCAGCGAGGGCTCCAAGGACAGCTCGCGCTGCTCCACGCCCGTGCTGGACGCCGAGCGGCACGAGCGGCTGCGGGACAAGATGCGCCGCCGGCAGGACGCTGGCGACAAGTGGTTCTCCCTCGAGTTCTTCCCTCCACGCACGGCCAATGCTGCTGTCAATCTCATCTCCAGGCGAGTGCTGCAGGGTATGAGAGGGGAGGTGTCTGTGGTGGAGGGCAGGGAAGTAGCTGACTAACAGAGGCAGGCTCTGCTCCATGCTCTGTCTCCCCTTCCAGGTGACGAAGCAGGTAGTGGGGCTGTGCTTTCCTGCTGAGGAGGGTAATGGACACCAAGTAACGTGTCTTCCTTGGAGGCCCTGAAGAGTTAAGTGTCACGGTGGGATTGCTGAGGGGCCAGGTTGTTTCCCCACTCCCATGCCCTGGGAAGATGGAGTAAGCCCAATGTCACTTTCTGGGTCTGAAGCACAATACTGGGGCAGAAAAGTACCTAGTAAAAGCAGAAAATATTCCTTGATGGCCAGTGTGCCAAAATCTCTGAAACACATTCCCATTTCCTTTCAATATTCATCCAGCCACTATGGTTTGTGCCTCTGTACTACAGTTTTAGCCTAGACATAGGTATCCACATCTACATGCTAAGTGAAAGCTGATAGGTCACAGCAGAGCTAGGAGTTATTCTGGAGCCCCAGGAGCCACCATGGACATATCTGGAGGAGAAAAGGGTATTTCATAATTCTTTTTATAATTGCTATAAGCCACTGCTGAACAGAAGGGCCTGTTCCACCTTGGAGCAGGAGAGAGACAAGTTAGGGAAGCCCTGTGGCCTCTACAGTTCAAGCTGGCAACAGAGGGGGCTGCAGCATAGTCTCCTACCTCAAAAGGAATGGGATTTGCATTTCTGTCTGTCAGAAGCTGTGTCAGTCTGTCAGCAGGCAGGGAGAGAGTCTGTTGTACAGAGAACACCTCCACTGCCTCTTCTATGAAATTGTAGGGATGGCTTTCCTTATTTA